TGCTACTCTGCTACAATTGGAAGCTGTTCATGGACAGGGACTGTCACTTTGTGTTTTGTAGAATGTTAGCACAGTGGGACCCTGATCTATGATGGGGTCCTTGAGCACTACTACAGTATAAACAAATAATGATATTAGGATATAAAGTAAATCTTAGCTGTTGTATCATCTTCAGGCATTCATGAACTAAACAAAAGTTACTCAAACATTGGAATTTCACAAAGCTTATAACTACACTAGGCTATAGATATCTCTAACTATTCTTAATGTACAGCACTTTTAAAGTGTATTCAAATCCCTTACACTTCATAAGTACCTTTCAATTCTTTTTAAAGAAATAAGCCAGTTGCTAGAGAAGAGCACTCTGTCCCTATTGTAATGTTTTAATAGAACTTACACTGTCAGCATTATAACAGTTCTTGCACAACTTAATTGCAAAAGGAGATGATTGTAGGAGTTAACGGACTCATTCTGGAAGGTATTGAACGAAGTCAATTTGAGTTTTGAAGGGTTGCTCTGTACTTCCTAGGATCAGACCTTAGGTGGCTATGATATAAACTGATATATCAATTACTAATAAATACAATTTCTAAAAATCTTTAATTTTCCAAGTGAAATGGTGACATTTTCCCATGAATTTGGAAATGTAAGAAATAATGTTCAGTTACATCTCTTTTGGGGCAGAAATGAAGTTTCACATTTTTTTATGGTGGGATAAGCTCACTTTAACACTTTTTCCTCCCTCCATCACCCAGTTGAACTACTCTGAATTTTAAGAAAGACTGCCTTTCTTCTGCCTGTTGAGTATGATACAATTGAATTTACACAGACTTCATATCTTTTGATTCTAATATGTTTCTTCCTGACATCAATAAAAGAAAGTATAATCTGAAAATAAAAGTTCATATGTCAGGATGACATTGTCCTGACTGCATAAAAGAAAATACAGACATACACGGTTATTGACACATTCTTAAATACTGAAGTAGAGCCTAGGTCTAAAGAAAACACTTTTCTGCTCCTCCCCAGTTGCCCATAGAAGTAGCCATAAAAGCCATATTTAAACTGTTTTGTTGCCTTTTCTTTTTTCCAAACTTTCATCCTCTTTGCTGCATATTTGCGAACATTTAATAGTAACAATTGACCTTTGTATTTGGCTTTTGTGAGATTGTGGAATGTCTGACTAGCATTGTTCAAACAAAAAGCTGAACAGATGAAGACAGTCTCTTAGTTACTCTTCTGGCTCTGTAGGCAAAGGGAAGACCTCATAGAATCATAGAATCATAGAATATCAGAGTTGGAAGGGACCTCAAGAGGTCATCTAGTCCAACCCCCTGCTCAAAGCAGGACCAATTCCCAGCTAAATTGGTCCTCATGGGACAATACTTTTCCAAAATAGAACGGTCACATTAAGAAATGACCATTTGTGTAGGCATTCATCCTTCGTAATCTCTTCAACCCTGCAGATCTTTATTTACAAAAACGTGAACTGTTTTTTCCCCCAGGTTTCACTCTCTCAATAATCTGTTTTTTCTATAATACTGGAGCTTTAAATAACTTGATAGCTATTTTTAAAAAATAGCTATTACATTTGTGTAAACAAAATGGTGCTTTCTCATACTTGCAGTGTGAGAGTCTGAAGTTTTTCAGTAGAAGATTATTTTTTTAATTGTGGCTGAGAGAGAGATTAAAATATCAACTGCTTTATTCACTTCCTGAAATAAAACACATCAATGTGAGTTTGAAAAACACAATAGATCTATGCTCTCATTTTTTAGTAACTAACACATTAACTTCCAAATATTTAAATGTGAACTTCAAGTTCTGTGTAAAAATGCATGAAAAGTTGTCTAGTTTAAATGTAGGTGCTTAAAATTTTTTTTTTTACAGCAGTGTGCCATGAATCACATCAGATTCCATAGAACCTTGCTGAACTGCACACTTCTTAATCTGTGCAAAAAATTGGTTGTCTCTCAATTCCTTTCATGGGTTGAATAGCAGATGTTGTAATAAGGTTCTATATTAATAAGGTTTCATTATTTTTACAAAACATACTAAATACACTTAGTAATGTACTATGAAGTATAATAAAGCTAAAATATAGTTGATGATCAAAATACACTTTTGTTATACACTACATCCAACTACCATTATTATTTTAAAAATTGTGGTAGCATTCGGGATCCAAGTCAGGTCTTGTGCCCTGTTGTGGTAATTAGTATACTGATTTGTATGAAAATACAATGCCTGAGTCAGAGAACCTGCAATTTAAGAAAAGAACATAAAATGAATCCTGGGGTGGGGTGGGGGAAGGGGGCAGGACAGCGGAGACAAATATATATATTAAAAAAGTAAATTTATAGGAAGAATAGTTGACTATCCCCATCTGCCCTTTACTTGCCAGTTTTTAATTGGCTGATTTCTTACAAGCATCATAATAGATGTTTGTTCTCTTGCTAATTCACCAAATTGATATTGTCAGTGGAGCTCCCAGTCATTAGGGCAAATTAAGAGTGTTCTACTGTATGCTTGTGCCATCTGTAGGCACAAAGCAGCTATGTTGTTTTTCCACTTTTAGCAATCCAGAGGAGACATCACTGTAGCTTACCTGTGCTTTGTCATGTCTTCATTCCTCTCTACATGCTACTTCTTACCCTGGCAGTTGAGATGAAGGATAGAGCTACATTTCTGTTAGAATGCTAATGCTGATCCAAGCAGCTGCGTGGGAGTAGTAGAGAAACTTTATCCCCCTGTTTCTCTCTACCTAGAAAGAATCTTTGTTTCTGCTGGGAGGGGAGGAGTGGAGTTTGGTGGGAGAGGCTTAAACATAGCCGTAATTAGGTATATGCCCTCTTGGAAAGCAACCAACCTTTTAAAAATGTATTCAAGGTAGAAATATGTTTAGAATAGTGTGAGCATTTTGTACTACTTGTGGCGTACCTGTTCAATCAGTCTGGCACCTCGTACAAGCATGAGAATTAACTTAAATGTTAAATACTTAGCACTTGTATAGTGGATTATATCTTCAAAGTATTGTGCACGCATTAAATGAGACAAAAAGCAGATGTGAAATGGAATCTTATGCCAAAAGTAAAAAGCAAGTACTTTAATGTGACATTACAGTTTTTTACATGTACAAAAGTAATCAAATTATAGGATTCCCACTACAGCTGGAATTTAACCTTCTTGTACATATGCAATATTTCATGAATTTAGGATGATTCATGAATACAGTATTTTCTAAGAGGGCCAAGTGATGGTTTCTGGGGGAACCATAGCTATCAGTTTTTTGACTTTTCGAACACGTAACATTTGAGCCATAAAGTTACGTATTCGGTTGTTTAACTTTCTCAGCCAGCCTTTTTAAATCTCAGAGCACACATTCCTCATTGAAGACTTTTTTTATACACACACTTAACTTCAAATGCAGAAATTAGAATTAATCTGAGCATATAAAGAGATCTAAAACTTCGTAAAGTATAAAATAGTCTTCCTTTTCACACTCCTGGTAACTCAAATGGCTGAACAGGCTTTTACTAAACTTCTTAAGTTTCTTAAAGTATTTAAAACAAACATGATATTTTAGTGATTTTTTTTCCCCCCAGAAAGTTTTAAATGCCCTAAAATGGGGTCTTAAAAATAATTCCTCTGAGCAGTAGCTCCAGAGTTGCTACTGAAATACTGAAATTACTTTTTAAAACTTTAATAGCTTTTGTCAATTTGTAGATGTCACTATATCCTTTGTATCCAATCAGAATGGATAGAAGATAAAGACTAAACAGAACTTCAGCAGGGAAAATATCAGTCTTATAAGTTAGCGTAGTACACAATACATATCTTTCACTCCTAAGAAAATTACTATCAGTAAAAATTTAAGTTGCAACATTAAAATTAAAGGGTGCATTCGCTTTTTTGGTTTTATAATGGGGAGAGGGAAATAGGAAACAGATCACTTTGCTCTTTGAGAAGCAACACATCTCTTCAGCCTCTGTGAATATTTACAGATTTTTAACCTGGTAGTGACGTTTTAGATGGCAGTCTTTTCTCACCTTTGCTATTGTTTTGCAAGTCAGCCCAGTTGCATGCAGGTCATGTATAATTCTCAATTATAAAACAAACAAAATCCATTTGCACAACTTGAAACTTCAGAGACAAGATGAAGAGGACCGCTTAGCATCTTGCTGTAAGGAGACGTAACTTGTCTTTCCCTTCTCTGAAAAAGCTAATATGTAGTCTGCTATTGGCCTCATCAGCTTTCTTATGTAAAATTTGTTAGCAGTAGCAATTTTCTGGCCTTCCAACCGTTTGGCTATTCTCAGCTAGGGGTTTTACTATATCAGCCAGTACTATTCTTGACTACTCCCAAAGATCATTTTGATGTCCATCAAAATGTATGCTGTCTGAGATGGCAGTTTATCCATAGAAGCTGCTCTCAGAAAAACACCCCTCCCTGCTGCTGCCCCCTCTCCTTCCCTCCCCCCACTTTCATGGTAGGACCAAAAACTTTCATTGTGTGTTTCAACTTTTCAAGATTTATTATTGCAGGCTGATTCATTTCCTGTTTTTCTGCTAATGTACTGCCAAAAGTAGAAATATGTTATCTTTCAAATGTTTTTGTTTTCTAATTAAATCTAGCAAATTTGTAATTTACTAATTTACAAGGAGTTGTTTAGGACTTTTAATGAAGAAAAAAACACCCCCTCTCCTCCAAATAGTCTCTTTGCCCAGCCAGTCCTGGCTCCCTTCTCAATCTCTCTCCCCCACATCTGGCCTCCAGTCTTCCTCCGCCCCCCTATTCTCTGTTCCAACTGGGTTCCGATTTTTCCTCTCCTTGTCCAATCTCAGTGTTCCTCCCTCTCAGGTACCCTGTCCCAGTCTCAGTTCTCTCTCTCATATACACAATTAGATAGGTCTCTTCTTCTCTCCCTCACCATACACTTCCTCTCATCCCTCACCTTTTCCCCCACCCATTGTTTCTCAATCCCAATCTCCTTGTCCAGCCCTCCATGCGAAGGTGCCTCTGGTGAAAGACTTGCTGCATCCCTCCCCCGAGGAGGAGAAGTGGAAACACAAGAAGAAGAGTCTGGTCCAGAGTCCGAACTCCTATTTCATGGATGTGAAGTGTCCAAGTTGCTATAAAATCACCACTGTATTCAGCCATGCTCAGACTGTAGTTCTGTGTATTTCCTGCTCAACTGTGCTGTGCCAGCCCACTGGAGGAAAGGCAAGGCTTACAGAAGGATGCTCCTTCAGACGAAAGCAGCACTAAACGAAAGTGTGTCTGAGATGGGTGGGACTACCTGCACAGTTGGCTGCACAGACAAATACAAATGGTTCAAGAGCATGGGATTCAGCCACAGAGCAACATTAAGTGTCAAGATGTGAACAGAAGGCTTTAAAGACGTCTCTAGAATGTGAGGGGAGAACATGACTTTCATACTGTCCCTGTAGCCTCACCCATCTGACTGTCAATAACGAGGGCATTCAATGAAATTGAAAGGTGGCAAATCCAAAACCAGTGCAAGGAAGTATTTGTTCACACACTGCATAATTAGACTGTAGAATTTACTGCCACTGGAAGTCATTGAGGCTGAACATCTTAGCAAGATTCAAAAAGAGATTAGACACTGATATGGCTAATAATATTCAGAGTTGTCATAGTTCTGTCAGATTTCTGTAGGGATATAAAAGCTCATGCTTCAGGGTTGAAGGAAATCTCTAGTGATTAGATCTAATATGGGGGGGCAGATTATCTCACATTTGCCTAATGGGAAGTTCCTTGCTCTTTCCTCCGAAGCATCTGGTGCTGGC